AAGATCAACTTGAAGCCAAAAAAGAAAAATTTCCAAACACTGTAAAAAAAATTGTGATGTTTCGGGTCAAAACGGCAGGTCATCTAATGCTCGGGAGGTCTACGTCTGGCATAATTACCACCTACCCTATTTTTAATGCCAGTATATTCTAGAATAATAACAAGTTTGGTAATACATGATAAATTGGTTAATAAAGTTTGCGAGTTCCCGCCAATTTGCAATTTTGTTTTAATAGTCGTATAGCTGGGCACACTGCAATGACTTGATCGATATCTTTTTCTTTTCTATACATTTTGGTATATGTATGTATGCCTATGCCATGTTGAACATCCTTTTGACCAACACTTTCACACTTTTTCGCCAATTCGATTGCTAGTGGAATTTGGAATTGTACTCTTCACCATACATTGAGACCAGTATTTCTGCTCATCGTACATTTTTTGTTTTCTTTCTACAAACCAGTTAAAATATTGTTTAGAATGAGCATGTGAAGTGAATTAGCGGAAAACACGCGCTTTCGTTCGTTTTGCTATATCTCTCACAACATTTTTCTTGTTGAGCTCTTTAAAAGATTTTAATCTAAATCAAAAGCCTACATTTAGGCGGAACATACTGTCGTCTCTACTACAGTCAGTGCAGCCATAAGTAGTGTAGGGCAAGTAATGAATATCAGAGTAAACACATTAAAAAAACCAACATTAAACCTACATCCAGTCCTTTAATCGTTTTTAAATCAATCCATTTAATGAATAAGTAAATCGAAGCTCATTCACATCATCTCAAAGAAAACTCATACCTAATTCTTGCGAAAGTGGAGGAGAAGCACACAAATTTTTCCAGCGTCTCATCCGAGAAGGGTACATGGCTAGGTTTTCTGAGATTGAAAACAACATTAGCATCTATGTCATTGCTGATTGATTTCAGTGGAAAAAAAGTGAGAGCTATAAATAATTTGCAAGCCTAGGAAAACTTTGTCTGAGCTCATACAAACCAAATATATAGATATTTCACTCCCAAGAGCTCCTGTATGATCCAGAGTAATCGGTTCATCATACTACCCAGTATAATTTATAAAAAGAAAAACATTAGCGAACTAGTCTGTTAAGAAAAACGTTGAAAAGCTTGCCAACTTTTTATGTCTGCAGATTAGTTGTCGACGTTGCACGACGTATGTATCCATAACTTTGAGGATTGTATTTACCTCGCCCTGGAAATACTATATATATATATATATGTTGTTGTTGTTATTGCTGCGGCTAGAACAACCACGCCCAGAACGGCAACGGGAGACCCATGAAGCGTGCAGCTTCTATAGGGTCTGTCTATAGGGGCAGAAGCGTCAGTTGATTGGGATTTGGTGGGCATGCGAAGAGATGTTTCGAATCGTGGGGTGTCTCTCCGCATGCCGTTCCCGAGGTAGACGAAGCTCCGTCTTGCCCACGTCAGGTGGTTGTGTTCTCAGAACGGCATTTACAGGTCTGGAGTCTACGTAACTTGAGACCGACTCCCTGTGAATGCCGTTCAAGGCCTGTCGATATGCTGTCTGGTGCAGAGGTTGCTTTATGAACCTCTGAACTTTGTACGTCAGTTCGTATAGATGGCTTCTGACGTGCCTTGGCGAGGGCTCCTCTGCAAGCAAGTGTCTGTTCGGGTGTCCACGTCTAGCTCCCTACTAAGAACTGCTTGCAGAGCATTGCGTTATACTTCTTTACGGGGAACATTTGCGCCTCGTCATGCAAGTGACGTTGTGGCGACATCAGAAGACATTCGGTCGCTGTCCGGAGTGCCGTATTTTGGCTAGTCTGTAGCTTCATCCACAGCGTCCTACTTGTCTCCGGCGACCACACTGGTGCTGCATAGTTTAGAATCGGCCGGCCAATTGCCTTGTATGTTGCCAGCAACGTTTCTTTGTCTTTGCCCCACGGTGCTGCTAGCTAGCGACTTGAGGACCATGCAGCGGCTCTGTACTTTGTTGACAATTGCGGTTGTATTCGCGGAGAAGGAAAACAGACTGTCGAATGTTACTCCGAGGGTTTTGGGATTATTCAGCATCGGAATTGATATGTCATCGACATGAATACCCAGCGTGACCTTCTTCGTCCAGATGGTGAGCAGGGTAGCTGAGGATTTTGTTGGGAAGATGGTTAGACTCCGTGCAGTGAAGAAGCGAGAAAGCTCGGAGCTTACTTTCGAGCAGAAATCGTCAATTCCATTCCCAGACGCCATTATGGAGCAATCGTCAGCGTAACAGATGGTCGAGACTCTCTCTGGTGGTTGAGGAAGCTAAGAAATACAAAAGTTGAAAAGTAATGGGAATAGGACACCGCCCTGTGGAATTGGTTTATACCAATTACTGACGAGTGTCGACCACTCAGATAATTCGCCGACCACCGTTTAAGTCTCTGTAGGGGAGAGCAGGCCTTTATATCTCCTAGTAGCGTGGAGTGACTCACGGTATCAAACGCCTTTGACAGATCCAACGCTACTAGAAAAGTTCTCTCACAGGGGCGGGTGCGGTTTAGGCCTCGTGTTATCTGGGTATTTATGGGGTTAAGTGCTGTTGTTGTGCTGTGCACTTTAAGGAAACCACGCTGATGCCCCGCTGGGGTCAAGTGGTTCGTAAAATACGGAAGTAGCAAGGCCTTTAGTGTCTTCGCTACCGGGGAATGGAGGGTTGTCGGGCGATAAAACTCTCCTTTGTTGGCTGGTAGTCCACAAGTGCTTTTGAAGCCGAATAAAGACAAAACGTGGTGGTAGATTTAGTAATAAATCAAGAGAAGCCCCAGGTGCTGTACAGCACTCGGCTATTGTTCTTTGTTGAAAGTTGGATGGCAGATTCTCTAGGCTAACTGCTCCACCACACAACAAATGCACAGCCGAAAAAGGGTGTTTCCAAAAGTTATAAATTCATAGGATCTTTCAAACTCTTATATCCAACGACTTGGCCCATTAAGATCGAAACATTCGATTGAATAATCTTTTGCATATAGTAATCGTTTTATTTTGTTGACCATACTCAATGCTCGGTGCAAACTGAAAGTCGGAGAAAGGCCAAGATAGCACTAAGTAACAAAAAAAAAAAATTTCTCAGTCCTTGGGATGTAATTGTTATTTCCTAGTCAGTTAGGTCCCAAAAGTATAGAAAACAGCTATTGTCGCAAGATAACTTTGCTTTTGTGACTGTGCTTTTGTGTATCAGTTTTCAACAAACAAGCATAAAAATATGGCAGATAAGCGCTGCCATGGTCACAAAAGCAAAGTTATCTTGCGACAATAGCTGTTTTCTATACTTTTGGGACCTAACTGACTAGGAAATAACAATTACAACCCAGGGACAAAAACCTTGTTACATAGTGTAGTCTAAGACAATGCCTTCAATTGCACTTGTTCATTTGAATATTGAGAAGCGAGCAAGAAAAGTCACGGTAGAGGGTCACTAAAGAGCCAACAAAAGAGTGGTAGGTAACATAATATGTTCATAGAAGAGCTAGTTTAGCAGGCAGCCATTACTAAGGCTGGCATCAAAGGTTAGCTGTTGGAGATTAGGAATATTGTTCTTTGTATTACTACGTGGATATATTTTGAAATTGGTACCACTTTTTAATCGATGAAACGTCGCATGCCGAATGCATCTAATTTCAATGACCGAGAGCTCCTCAGGGTTATTTGTGAAAAGCGAGCCAAAATATTTCGACCTTATCCTTCCGAAGGTTTAGAATTCTCATTTTCGAGGTAACTACGACAAAAAGTATCAGGGGGATTCGTCGAAGGATCTAACTGCCAATCAAACAGCGATCTTTGACTTTGTAAGCGTAAGAAGCTCATTTACCGACCATGGCCAGAAAAATCAAACATGTGCAAGTGTCCTAATTCTTACCAGCGTTCGCTGTGTTTGTATGAGAACCATTTATCCAAGTGTTAATGGAGGATCTGAGAACGTTTCGCTGGATTTATTGTCGATAGATCTTTCCATTCGGATAATCGCCTATCCTTAATATATTTACTCATACATCATGTAAAAGCTCCGGCTACCGACTACCTATATCATACCAAAGGCTCGACTTAAACACAAATCCCGTAAAAAATTCCCAAGCCACACCATTTGCTAAGGTAGCCACAGGGATGAACTAGCGAGGTGGGGCTTGGCATACCCTTGAACAGGCTTCGCCGCATCTGAAAGAACCCTAGATCGAAAAAAAACAATAATTCCCTCTGAGCACAAGACCTTGCGATTCAGGCTAAAATACATACAGAATGGTACGAATCGATATTGGTCTTAATTTTTACCTCTCACATGGATCGTAGGGTCTTCAAATATACATAGAATAGCTAATGACTGATACAGAAAAACACACAAATCTAACTTTATTTAAACTTAACTATTTATTTCCATTTATTAACACGTCTAATAAATATTGCTGCATTAAATAAATTAATATAAACTTTAACAAAACCAATTTCACTTAATAACTTAACAAGCAAAATACGAGTATATATGAACCGAAATCAAAGATTTGTTTATAAACACAAAAAATATATAATTATTTGTAGATCTCAAAGAAGTCGCCTAAATATTTAAATATACTTACAAGCACCTCCATTAGTAATATAAATATTTAGCACCAAAATTCAGCGCCTTGACTGTCTGCCATCCCTCTTTCCCACCTACAACGCATCGTCTACTTGAAATTTGATTAGGTCTTCCACTGGGAAACGAAAGAGCGAAGCTGCCTGGGCCTCCGATGCCATTTGATCAACATCCGCTGACTCGTTGTATCGCTGAAATCGACTGCGTCCCTCAAAGCGTTCGTAATGCGTAGAGTTCTCCGCCCCATCCAATTTATTGCTTACCAAAGCAGCCGCATGTGGCTGATCTGTAACTTCCGCAGCCACTATAGGATGTTCAAAATCGACCAGACCTTCCGGATCTGAGCTGTCGCTACGCGAAACTGGTTGTTCTGGCGAATTAGTCGAATTGGAATTAGAATTGGAGTTGCGTGCTTGATGACGCGGCTCAATGGGCGACAGCGACTCGCGTTCCTCCATGATAATGTGACGATTTATATTTTGACCCGCATTATAGAAGGGATTATTCGATGTCGGCACTGCGAGTGCCTGTTGTTTTTGTTTTGGGAAAACATTTAAGTGTACCAAAATTTGATTTTGATTGGCTTTGGCGGCGGCACCGGCACCGGCGCCGGGACCGCTAGCGCTGGCACTCGAGGCGCTACTCATGTGGGACATATCGAGTGGCATAAAAGGTGTTTGAAATTGAGATTTCGACACATGGTCGGGGAAGGTCAATTGCATATTACTCGACTGCGACATATGCGGTTGTAGTTGGGGCTGCGCGGATGACGAAGGAAAGCGGAAAGGCATGAAAGCCGGTTGATCGTATGCATTATGGAAGCCATAGGCGGCGGTGGACGGAATCACTGGCATGTGGTAGTAGTCGAGAAAGGGATTGCGTACTAAATGAGGTCTGCGTGTAGACGAGGCAAGCTTGACTTCATCATAAGTGAAGGCAGCCGGCTTGAAGTCTTTTGCAGGCGGTATTACTGGATAGATGTCTAGATTGACTTTGAAAGGCACGCGTGTCATTTTCCCTTTCTGCGCCTCACCGATATCCAACATTGGCTGATAGCTCGCCATGTAGGGTTCTGTGGCGAATGGTCGTTGATTGCTGAATTGTTGTAGCATTAGATTCGCGTTGGGGTTCAACTGTTTCTGCTTGTTCTTCTTCTTGTTCTTCGAGCGATTCCCTTGCAATTGTTGCTGCAATGCCAGCAGATTTACGTCATTCGGCGATCGTGGTTTAAACGGATATATCTGATCCATAGCAATGCGCTGTTGATAGGCCGCCGCATGTGGCATCATACCCACCATAGGCGCCGGGAAGGGTTTCAACATTTGCATATTCATTGGCATTGGCATGGGTATGGTGAATTGCATTTGCTTTTTGTTGCGTTTGCCACGAAAGAAGTTGGCGATGCCGCTGGATTTGAGATTCTTGAAAGTGCCCGCGATATGCAGTCCGGTGGACATCATAACCATTGGGGGCACTTTACTTGGACCACCGCCCAATTGCAACTGATGGAGTATGTCTTGTATATTATGCACATCAACGCGCTCCTCGTCGGCACCCTGTGTCTTTTTGAATTCCTGCGGCAGCGGACCCTCGTGCGGAAAGTGAAACGGTT